CTCACCAAATTATTCAGATATATATTGAAATGTGAAAGGTATGCTAGAGTATTTAGAAAAATATCATAATTGATATATTCTGTCACTTGAAAATGTGAAAATTGAAGTATTTTGTGGGAATTGAAGTGGTCCATTTTAAAAAGGGAATATTAATATCTCAACAGAGATACATCATTGATTTGTTGAAAGAAACTAGTAAGACAACCTGCAATCTTGCAAGTACATCAATTGATCCAAACTTGAAACTGGGAAACGCAAAAGGGGATACTACAGTTGACAAGAAAATATATCATAGGCTAGTTTTTATCTCACACTAGACCTGGTGTTTCATTTGCTATGAGTCTAGTTAGCTAGTTCATGCACCAAGCGGAGGAGGTTCACTTACAAGCTGCACTAAGAATTATGCAATATTTGAAAGGGACCCCAGGCATGGGAATTTTGTTCGAACGAAATGGGAATGTAAGTCTGGAAGCATATACAGATTCAGACTATGCAGGGTTAATTGTGGATAGGAGGTCAACAACGAGATATTGCACTTTCTTCTGAGGGAATCTTATGACTTGGAAGAGTAAAAAACAAAGTGTGGTAGCTAGATCCAATGTTGAAGTAGAGTTCAGGGCAACGACACAAGGGATATGTGAACTACTCTGGCTGAAGATCATCTTGGAAGACTTAAGAATAAAATCGGATGAACCATTGAGACTTTATTGTGATAACAAATTTATTATTAGCATAGCTCATAATCCAGTGTAGCATGATAGAACCAAACATTTTGAGGTTGACAGACATTTTATCAACGAAAAGTTAGACCGTGGTCTGATATGCTCTCCATGTCTCCTCACAAGACAACCTTGTAGATATTCTAACGAAGGGGCTGATCAACAACAACTTTGACAGGATTGTTTCAAAGCTGGGAATGGAAATGCCTATTCATCAACTTGAGGGAGAGTGTTAGAATCTGTTTTATTAGATGTATTATTTCTATTAGAATGTATATTTTATTAGTTGTATTGTTTCCTTATTTAGTAGATTAAAATTATAGTGTATGATGGGAATATCCCTGAATCATAGGGATCTGGTTGTCTAGGTACTATTATTATACTTCATAAAGTAGCTTTTTAGCCTTGTATATATGAATTGTATTCTCAGCATAATTTAATATATCAATTATTCTACCCTAAATTGTGAGATATATCGAATGTACCAAGTTTGTTACAAATATAATTAATTCTCCGTCCACTTAAAGACCTAATGAAAATATCTGCTAACTGATCATTTGACTTAAGTGAACTTAGTCTTGATGTCTCCAGATACAATCTTTTCTCGAATGAAATGACAATCAATCTCAATGTGTTTGGACCTTTCATGAAAGACAAGATTAAAACTTATATGAAGAGCCGCCTTATTATCACATATAAGTGTCATTTGAGTGACATCTTCAAATTGTAACTCTCTAAGCAATTGTTTTAACTAAACAAGTTCACAAGTGGCTGAGGGCATAGCTCTATATTCTCCTTCAGCACACTATATCTTGCCACAACACTTTATTTCTTACTCTTTAGCAAATAACTTTTGTACGGTTATTGGAACCATATAACAAACCTTTTCGAGGAGATCCTTTAATGTACTTTAATATATAGATGACTGCATTCCAATTATCTTCACTTGGGGAGTTGAGAAATTGGCTGATCACACTGACTACAAAGGAATTGTAAGGTAATTTAATTTTCCAACCAATCTTCTATACTACTCAGGATCTGAAATAAGCTCCCCCTAATTTGGTTGGAGTTTGGTATTAGGATCCATGGGTGTGCCAACGTGTTTTGAATTCATCAACCCATTTTCCTCTAAAATATCCAATGCATAGTTCTTTTGAGATATAACAATACCATTGTTGGATTGTGCTACCTCAATACCCAAGAAGTATTTGAGTTTCCTGAGATCTTTTGTTTGAAAACGGTGGCAAAGGTGTTGTTTCATCTAGGAGATGCCATGGTGGTCACTGCCTTTAAGAACAATGTCATCAACATATACTATCAAATAGACATATCGAAAGTCATACCAAATTGTTGAATTGTGCTATAAATTTGCCTCACTAGGCCCTAGAAGACCGTTTCAGGTCATACAAAGATTTGTGAATACAACATACAAATCCAAAAGACTCCCCTTGAGCAACAAATTCTGGAGGTTATTCCATATAAATTTCTTCCTGCAAATCTCCATTGAGGAAAACATTTTTGATTTTGATATCTGCAAAAATAAAATAGCGATTAAGAGGAGAGAAACACTTATATCCTTTATGTGGTCGAGTAAATCTTAAAAAAATACATTTGTGTGATCTAGGAGATAACTTATCAAGACCATGACTAAAATTATGAACAAAAATGTAGACCAAAAAACTTTAATAGGTAGGGGATGTAGAGGTGCATGAGGAAATAAAGTAGAATGAGGATTTTTGTTATTTAAAACCAAAGATGGCATGCAAATAATAAGATAATATGTAGTAAGAATAGCATCAGCCCAAATGTTTCCTCATAATCAACACCTTAAGTCTAAGTAAATCCTTTAGCAAACCTTGCTTTGTAACTTTCTAATGTGCCATCAGATTTATACTTTACATTATACACCCATTTGCATCATCTTGCCTTTTTGTCCAGTGGCCTATTAACAATATCCCATGTTAGATTTTTTTTTCTAAGGCACTCATCTCTTCAGTCATGGCTTGAACCCAATTCTTATCCTTCAATGCTTCTTGAACTGTAGTAGGACTCTAATTGAATCAATGGCAGAGAGGATTTTATGGTGCTGCATAGATAGGGTTTTAGTAGTTACAAAATGAGAAATAGGACACATGGTACAAGACCGACTTCTTTTTCTCAAAGCAATGGGTAAGTCATTAAGGTTAGGTTTACAATTATTATTCATGTAATTTTCCAAAGGTTCAAGGGTGTCAGAAGAAAAGAAGGAACACTTAACCCAAGTTAGATAATTGGTGCTGTTCTTGGATCATGTTATGTTGCTTTTGTCTCCTCTAACATTTTATATGGAAGAAATTCTATGGACGACTAATTTCTAGAGTTTTCCCTGACTCGGGGAAAAAGATGCTCTTGTTAGGAGCAGCTTCAAAAACAACTAATTTCTAGAATTGACCCTAGCTCGGAACAAAGATGCCTTTATTTGGAGCAACTTCAGGGATATTCATACGATAGGCGACACGAGAAGTATCAGGAGTACTAAGAGTAGTATGAAGCGGTTCTTGTATGAAAGGGACAAAAGATGTCTCAAGAGATTCAAAGGACACGAGAAGTATCAGGAGTACTAAGAGTAGTATGAAGTGGTTCTTATATGAAAGGGACAAAAGATGTATCAAGAGATTCAAAGGACTCGCTTCAAAAGATCTTTTCTCTCTCTATATATATGCTATGCTAATGTACTGTTTCAAATTATTTACTTCAATAATGATCTTTTCTCTCATATAGCTAAACCCTTTTGAAGTAGGACATTCATATTCAAGGCTTTTGTTGGTAATTTGGTTATATTTTTAATACTGCAGTGCTGGAATTGGGGTTCTTAATGCAGCCAGAAAAACAATGGCAAGAATGTTGGGAAATAATGAAATAGCTTTTAAGAGTGCAAAAAGTCAGTTTTGGGTTGTTGATGCAAAGGTACTGTTTATCATGACATTGATGTCCTTATTAGATGCGTTTTAGTCTTTTGTAGTAATTAAATCTTATTTTTCATGGAAAGCTAACTTATGCATTTCGAATTTTATTGCATACATAAGTATTTCTGGGTTTTGAGTTTCACAGCAGCAGTATGTGAAAAGCATTGACAGAAATGATAAAAAATGTTTTTAAAAATTTTTGAAACTACACAAAATAAGATTTGAACTCATAGTATGGAAAAATAGATTGAACTCAAACAGAAAAAAACATTTAATTCTGTTTAACTAATAATTTTTTATATGAATCTATATTGTTTAATTTTTTTAATAAAAATTTGTTTGTGCATATAATTCACAATACTTGTATCATAGATTTTCAAATCTTATCCCTTATATATCCATATGCCTTTATCATTACAACTATAGCCGCAATTTATGATAAACGGTTTGAGAAATTAGGCCATATAACTTAGAACATAATTCTTTACCCTTTATTAAACATTATAATTTATAAATCGTCAAACTATGTGTAAATGGATGAGTTAGTAAGTTGCCTGGATGGATAAGGAACCGTTCTTTGGACTCTGCATCACCAGTAGTTTATCAATGTGAGAGAAACTCAGAATTTTGTTACAAACTGAATTGTGTAGATTTCATTAACTTGTAAAAGATGAAGAATAACAAGTGTATTTATAGCTAAGCTCCAACAAGGGAGAGAGTTGTTGATAGTAACCAACGACTTCATTTAATTAATACACGATAGAGTTGTTAGTCTATGTACAAGCACTATTTACATACACAATATATAACTAAGTACATACTCTAATAATAAAAAATAGATGATCTATCATTGATTTGTGATTGTTATTGGTAACGGATTCTATCTAATTTTGTGCATCTATTGTACTGTTTAAAATCATTGTTGAAATGCTCAGCTGGGACACTGTTTCAAATCACTGTTGAATTTGATCTTCAATCATCGAATTTAGCTCCACTTCTTTCTCTTTCTGGTGGTGCATAAATGCTTATGTTGATTTGTCATATACATGGCCTTTGAACCTGCTTTTGTTGTCAATTATATGCTTCTCGATAACTATTTTGTGCTGTAAAGTCGTACTAACAACAATGTTATTGTCAATGTATGAATTTTGTTCTACATTTTCACTACAATGAAAAGGCTTCCATTCTTTTAACGAATTGTCCTTGTTCAGATTTTTGGCATGTCCATCATTCACTATTTTACCTCAATATGAACTTCATCAATTATCATCCACTAACCGTTTTTATGAACCACAACAGTTTCAAGTAAAAATAGATTTCTTATGGCTTTATTTTTATGTATAATATAATTGCTTGTTTTTGTAATTTGTGGTGACTGTCAAATTCATTGCATGAAGGTGGATTTTATGCTGCTCTAATGATATATTTTGATCATTTGATATTCAATTTTCTTATTGATTTTGCAAATATAGGGATTAATCTCTGAAGGACGTGAAAATATTGATCCAGATGCCCTTCCTTTTGCAAGAAATTTGAAAGAAATGGAGCGCCAAGGACTGAGAGAAGGAGCAAGCCTTGAGGAAGTGGTTTGTGAGAATATTGCATTAGAGAGGCTAATATGAATTATAAAAGCCATCATACAGGAAAAATCAAAATTTTAAAAAAATACAGTTATTTCTTCAGCTATTATTATCCTATTTTCCAGGACATATTCTTAGCATTTGAATATAAACTTAATGAAACTCATGAGTGGACTCTCTTTTCTGTTGTCTATAATGCTAAGCTCAACCCCTAATATAAGTTTCTATGTCTTCTCTTACATATATTTACAGAAAATTGCACACACATAACAAACATTTTTTACAGCTGTGAAGTTTTTCTTTCTTGAATAAAGGACACGGATGAATTTAAAAAATATTCTGGGATTGTGTATGATATAAACACAGCATAATATATAGAAACATTAATATAACAAAACTCTCTAGTCTCATTTTATCTATTAGGGTCTCCTAGTTTAGTATTTTATAGTCCACTATAATTCTTTGAAAATTTCCAGTTTTTAGATGAGTAACTATTGGACTGCTTGCTTCTTAGATTCTTACCGAACTTTGGTAACAGGTCAAGCAAGTGAAGCCCGATGTCCTCCTAGGATTATCAGCTGTTGGAGGATTGTTTTCAAAGGAGGTATACAATCTGAAGCTTTGATTTCATTATTCATTGCATGCTTATTTCATTAAGATTGTTGAATTAATATGGCATCTATTAATACTTGAACTATATAAAAAAATAAAGAATTACTTTATTGATAACAATAGTACCAATTACATTCCCATCATTCATATTTATAATAATGAAATCCTTTAATATAAGAGGATAAAAATATGTTGAAATGAGTACGAAGATTTTGAAGACATCGAGAATACTTTTATCCTAATAATTTACAACACTATTACATAAGTTCGTAAATGAATATTAAGTATTTTGAACATGCCTAAAAGATCCTAGAATGTGCCTTGAGGAAGTTCCTTAGTGAAAATCTTCACCATCTGAAAACCTATAGGATCATGGGTTGTAACTACCAGGCCCTGTCAGGATTATCTTTGATAAAATAGTTGTCAATTTCAATGGTTGGTCTTATCATGTTAGACTGAATCATAGGCAATGTTTGTGGTTGTTGTTATAGTATAGTTGAGGTCATCAAGTATGATCTTCATCCATAGTCCTTCATACAAACCTTGAGCAAGGACCCAAAATTCAGTTTCTGCACTATAACAAGACTATCTTCTTTTTTTTCTGTTCTCCAGATCACCAACTTTCTCCAAGGAACGTACAGTACCTAGAGCTATATTGTTTATAAGTACGTAACTTGCATAGGATACGCCAACATAAATCTTCAAGGACAAAGTGTCTTTTTTTCTTAAGATTTACCTCTTTCACGGGCTTGTCTTCAAGTATTGAAAATTTGTGTCAACTGCTTTCATTTGTCTTTTCCTGGAATCATGCATAGATTGACTTAGCACACTAATCACATAAGCAATGTTTGGTCTCATACATGATAAATAAATAAGTTTTGCTACCAATTTTTTATATTGGGTTTTTTCTTCAATAGAGCTCTCTCTTCACTTTCAATTTAATTCTTTTGTCCAAAAGGAACTTGTGAGGCTCCACATCCCAACTTTTACTTGTGTCTTTAAGGACATCAAATACATATCTTCTTTGGGATATGAAAATCATTTTCTGAATAAGCAACCTCTATTCTAATGAAATACTTTAGTTCTGCTAGGTCTTTCATTTCAAATTGGGTAGCCATTTTTTCTTTGAGAGCCAATTTGTCTATTTCATCGTCTCCTCTAATAATCAAGTCATTTGCATAGACCAATAGTGGTGTAAGTTTACCTGTAAGAGAGTGCTTTATGAATAAAATATGATCTCCTTGCTTTGGTTACATCCCAAGGAAACCATTGCTTTTGTAAATCTCCCAAACCATATTCTTGGAGATTGTTTAAGACCATATAAGGCCCTTTTTAAGAGGTATACCTTATTCCTTCCAATGTGAGTTTCCATTTTGGGTGTAATTTCAATATACATTTCTTCTTCTAAAGCTCCATGAAGAAAGACATTCTTCACATGCAACTGATGTAGGTCCCATCCAAAATGAGCTTCTAAAGTAGGAATAACTCAAATTGTATTCATCTTTGCAATGACCATTTTGCAACCAATCTAGCTTCATACTTGTCTACTAACCCATTTGCCTTATGTTTCACAATAAATATCCATCTACACCTTATTGCCATTAGGCTCTTCACCAGTCAACAATCCCTTATGTTTAGTTTCTTACTAGTGCATCCATTTCCTCTTTTATGGCTTAAGTCCAATGTTCACTTCTCATGGCTTCTTGGATTGAGGTAGGAATTTTTGTGGCAACAATAAAGCTTCAATATATTACATTGTAAGTCCAAAAATATTAATAAATAGGATATTTAATGTGCAATCTTTTTTCCTTTTTGACCACGATGGGTAAATTCTCAAGAACACTTATCTCCTCATTGTTACCTTCAAGGCTCCTCACCTCAAAGTCAAAAAACTCTTCTTTCTCTAGCATCAAAGTGGGTTGTCTTTATGTTTTTTTTCCAAAGTATTTGTCTTCTTGTTCCTCATTGTGGATTACTTTAATCCCATTTATAGTGGCTTCCTATCACTTGGATCTTGAGTATTCTGCAGATAGATATGGTAAGGATAGGCAGAAGAACTTCTCTGCTTTGAGTATTTTCTCACCCTAAAGCATTAGGCTAACAAAAAGAAAATTTCTATTTCGTGAAAGTAAACATCCATGGTAATAAAGACAAGATCTCTTAAGATGATAACATTTGTACCATTTTCTATTAAAAGTGTTGTAATTTGAGATAATATCTTTAGAATCTTCCTAATTAGAGGAAATAGATATATAATCTTTATTTTATTTTACTTTCCTAGTTTCTCTATTTCCCTTTATTTTACTTTCCTAGTTTCCCTATTTCCTTTTTTAGGAGAATTAGATTATTACAAATAGAAAGTATCAGAATGTATTTTTTATGATTGAGAATAATAAATCAGTCTTATTTTTCACAAAAAGGATAACTAATAAATACAATTTTAAATCTTTAGTATTTNTTCTACATTTTCACTACAATGAAAAGGCTTCCATTCTTTTAACGAATTGTCCTTGTTCAGATTTTTGGCATGTCCATCATTCACTATTTTACCTCAATATGAACTTCATCAATTATCATCCACTAACCGTTTTTATGAACCACAACAGTTTCAAGTAAAAATAGATTTCTTATGGCTTTATTTTTATGTATAATATAATTGCTTGTTTTTGTAATTTGTGGTGACTGTCAAATTCATTGCATGAAGGTGGATTTTATGCTGCTCTAATGATATATTTTGATCATTTGATATTCAATTTTCTTATTGATTTTGCAAATATAGGGATTAATCTCTGAAGGACGTGAAAATATTGATCCAGATGCCCTTCCTTTTGCAAGAAATTTGAAAGAAATGGAGCGCCAAGGACTGAGAGAAGGAGCAAGCCTTGAGGAAGTGGTTTGTGAGAATATTGCATTAGAGAGGCTAATATGAATTATAAAAGCCATCATACAGGAAAAATCAAAATTTTAAAAAAATACAGTTATTTCTTCAGCTATTATTATCCGATTTTCCAGGACATATTCTTAGCATTTGAATATAAACTTAATGAAACTCATGAGTGGACTCTCTTTTCTGTTGTCTATAATGCTAAGCTCAACCCCTAATATAAGTTTCTATGTCTTCTCTTACATATATTTACAGAAAATTGCACACACATAACAAACATTTTTTACAGCTGTGAAGTTTTTCTTTCTTGAATAAAGGACACGGATGAATTTAAAAAATATTCTGGGATTGTGTATGATATAAACACAGCATAATATATAGAAACATTAATATAACAAAACTCTCTAGTCTCATTTTATCTATTAGGGTCTCCTAGTTTAGTATTTTATAGTCCACTATAATTCTTTGAAAATTTCCAGTTTTTAGATGAGTAACTATTGGACTGCTTGCTTCTTAGATTCTTACCGAACTTTGGTAACAGGTCAAGCAAGTGAAGCCCGATGTCCTCCTAGGATTATCAGCTGTTGGAGGATTGTTTTCAAAGGAGGTATACAATCTGAAGCTTTGATTTCATTATTCATTGCATGCTTATTTCATTAAGATTGTTGAATTAATATGGCATCTATTAATACTTGAACTATATAAAAAAATAAAGAATTACTTTATTGATAACAATAGTACCAATTACATTCCCATCATTCATATTTATAATAATGAAATCCTTTAATATAAGAGGATAAAAATATGTTGAAATGAGTACGAAGATTTTGAAGACATCGAGAATACTTTTATCCTAATAATTTACAACACTATTACATAAGTTCGTAAATGAATATTAAGTATTTTGAACATGCCTAAAAGATCCTAGAATGTGCCTTGAGGAAGTTCCTTAGTGAAAATCTTCACCATCTGAAAACCTATAGGATCATGGGTTGTAACTACCAGGCCCTGTCAGGATTATCTTTGATAAAATAGTTGTCAATTTCAATGGTTGGTCTTATCATGTTAGACTGAATCATAGGCAATGTTTGTGGTTGTTGTTATAGTATAGTTGAGGTCATCAAGTATGATCTTCATCCATAGTCCTTCATACAAACCTTGAGCAAGGACCCAAAATTCAGTTTCTGCACTATAACAAGACTATCTTCTTTTTTTTCTGTTCTCCAGATCACCAACTTTCTCCAAGGAACGTACAGTACCTAGAGCTATATTGTTTATAAGTACGTAACTTGCATAGGATACGCCAACATAAATCTTCAAGGACAAAGTGTCTTTTTTTCTTAAGATTTACCTCTTTCACGGGCTTGTCTTCAAGTATTGAAAATTTGTGTCAACTGCTTTCATTTGTCTTTTCCTGGAATCATGCATAGATTGACTTAGCACACTAATCACATAAGCAATGTTTGGTCTCATACATGATAAATAAATAAGTTTTGCTACCAATTTTTTATATTGGGTTTTTTCTTCAATAGAGCTCTCTCTTCACTTTCAATTTAATTCTTTTGTCCAAAAGGAACTTGTGAGGCTCCACATCCCAACTTTTACTTGTGTCTTTAAGGACATCAAATACATATCTTCTTTGGGATATGAAAATCATTTTCTGAATAAGCAACCTCTATTCTAATGAAATACTTTAGTTCTGCTAGGTCTTTCATTTCAAATTGGGTAGCCATTTTTTCTTTGAGAGCCAATTTGTCTATTTCATCGTCTCCTCTAATAATCAAGTCATTTGCATAGACCAATAGTGGTGTAAGTTTACCTGTAAGAGAGTGCTTTATGAATAAAATATGATCTCCTTGCTTTGGTTACATCCTAAGGAAACCATTGCTTTTGTAAATCTCCCAAACCATATTCTTGGAGATTGTTTAAGACCATATAAGGCCCTTTTTAAGAGGTATACCTTATTCCTTCCAATGTGAGTTTCCATTTTGGGTGTAATTTCAATATACATTTCTTCTTCTAAAGCTCCATGAAGAAAGACATTCTTCACATGCAACTGATGTAGGTCCCATCCAAAATGAGCTTCTAAAGTAGGAATAACTCAAATTGTATTCATCTTTGCAATGACCATTTTGCAACCAATCTAGCTTCATACTTGTCTACTAACCCATTTGCCTTATGTTTCACAATAAATATCCATCTACACCTTATTGCCATTAGGCTCTTCACCAGTCAACAATCCCTTATGTTTAGTTTCTTACTAGTGCATCCATTTCCTCTTTTATGGCTTAAGTCCAATGTTCACTTCTCATGGCTTCTTGGATTGAGGTAGGAATTTTTGTGGCAACAATAAAGCTTCAATATATTACATTGTAAGTCCAAAAATATTAATAAATAGGATATTTAATGTGCAATCTTTTTTCCTTTTTGACCACGATGGGTAAATTCTCAAGAACACTTATCTCCTCATTGTTACCTTCAAGGCTCCTCACCTCAAAGTCAAAAAACTCTTCTTTCTCTAGCATCAAAGTGGGTTGTCTTTATGTTTTTTTTCCAAAGTATTTGTCTTCTTGTTCCTCATTGTGGATTACTTTAATCCCATTTATAGTGGCTTCCTATCACTTGGATCTTGAGTATTCTGCAGATAGATATGGTAAGGATAGGCAGAAGAACTTCTCTGCTTTGAGTATTTTCTCACCCTAAAGCATTAGGCTAACAAAAAGAAAATTTCTATTTCGTGAAAGTAAACATCCATGGTAATAAAGACAAGATCTCTTAAGATGATAACATTTGTACCATTTTCTATTAAAAGTGTTGTAATTTGAGATAATATCTTTAGAATCTTCCTAATTAGAGGAAATAGATATATAATCTTTATTTTATTTTACTTTCCTAGTTTCTCTATTTCCCTTTATTTTACTTTCCTAGTTTCCCTATTTCCTTTTTTAGGAGAATTAGATTATTACAAATAGAAAGTATCAGAATGTATTTTTTATGATTGAGAATAATAAATCAGTCTTATTTTTCACAAAAAGGATAACTAATAAATACAATTTTAAATCTTTAGTATTTTAATTAATGCAAATAGGATTATGAGAGAGAACAAAATAGAACATCCAAGGACTTGACAAGGTAGACTTGGCTTTAGAGGAGTATAGGAAACAAAAAATGGAGTCTTAGGACTAATGTCATCAAACTTAATTCTTTTGATGTTTTCTCCAAATATATTTTGGACAAGACAGAAAAAGTTAACAAATATGTGAGAGGCTTCATATTTACTTTTCATAATATATGTCTGCATGACACAACTACATTTGTCAATAAAAGTATTAAACCATTTTTTTTCATAAATAAATTCAAAAAACAGGTCCTCAAACATTAGAGTGAATCAAGTCAAATGGAAAATTACTCTTCTATCAAATATGAGATAAGATCCACGGTGATGATTTAACAATTGACAAATATTACATTTGAAAGACTTAACAAAGTATTTATTGAAGAATGATTTTATAAGGTTGAATAAGTGATGTCCATATCTTTTATGATGGAGGCATATTTGGGAAATACCCCATGTTTCTGACCTTTGTATTTTTTTTATTCTTGGATTCCAACATATACAACCTATGCTACTCAGTGTTGCTCCTTAGCAATTAAAATCATATATCATGGCAAGGTCTTGAATTACACAATAAAGAAAAAGTTACTAAATAGTTCAAATCCTTTCTATAGAGATAAAAACATATTGGCCAGTTATGCGACATAGAAAACATCTTTTAATACAATACATGATTCCAAAGTTATATTCCTAGATTTGCATATGGGTACTCTCCTACCATTTGCAGTTGTAGGGAGTTATTCTCTAGTCTTTTTGACATATAAATTGAAGAAATTAGCAAATAGAGTCATGTGATCAGTTGCGCTTGAATCAAGAATCCATTGGGCTGAGGACCTGGGGCAGTCGCTACGTAATAGACTTGAAACCGAGCGGGAACATGGCTGGGAGTAGCTTTTAACAGTGCTGGTCTACCCCGATTTACCCATTGAGAGGGACTTAAAGCCTTGGTTTCGCCAGCCCTGTTTCATGAGTAGAGCTCCATTGAGAAAGACCTTGGTGATTGGCCAATTCCATCTAGATATTGTAGGTCTTTTCATGGCTTCGTTCGATAAAGCACTTAAACCTAAGCGCAAGGTAATTTAGGTAGCACCTTGAGACAAAGGGCCAAATGTATTGAATGTACTTTTATCTTTCACGGGTAGGTTATATGATGTAGGGGATTTAGTCATTGATTTAGTCATTGTTCTCATACGACCAGGTTCCTCTTTATAATCTTTCATATCAAGCATTGAAGAAACACAACAAAGTCGTAATAGAGATTCAACTCTTGTTGCTGTTATTCGTAACAAAGAGAACCAACAAATTAAGATCTACCCAAACCAAACAAAAGAGATGTCGCACCCATTGGAATGTGCAAAGGAGGTCTGGACAACATTGTCTACTATGGTGGTGATTGAGCTTTCCAAGCAAGACGCATGAGCTACGCTTGTCAATCCTAGTGGTGGCATGTGGCCGTGTATGACAACCGTGTGATGATGTATACGTCAATGTTGTGTCCGTCAGAGAGGGGTACACCTTTCTAGCCCACCACTAACCTCAACGATGAAGGCAAACAATGACAGTGGCTTTTGTTAATGAGGCAATGGAATCAAGATTCCCAAAATTGGGTTCTCTAATACCAACTTGAGCTATGTAAGAAAATAAAAGTTTATTTTATTGATAACAATCAAACCATTTACACTCTCATCATCTTTATTTATAATAATCAAATCCTTTAAAATAAGGGAATAAAAATATGTTACATTAGATAGGAGGATTCTACAAATATTTTTTCATAATTACTACATAGATATTGGGAATATTTTTCCTACTAATCTATTATTTATGCATCCATTTTCTATTGTCCTGTGTTTGTATAGAAAAATGAAGGAAATTTGAAAGGGGAAGTTCTATCCCCCACTCACGGAGAATCATGATATGTTTTATGCTGCCTCCATCAATCTATTGGCCAATGTTGTTTGGTGTTAAGAAATAGACTTTAAGCCTAACTCAACTCCATAAAATTGGCTTGTAAGGTGAGATTTGCACTCACTTGTATACTATAAACTTACCCTATCTTTAGTCAATCTGAAATCCCCAACAAATCTCCTGATAATGGTTGGCACATTAGGCCGAATAAACAACAAATCTCGCTAGGATAGACTTTAACCCGTGACTCTGATACCATGTTAAGAAGTGGATTTTGAGCCGAACTCAATCTCACTAAATCAGCTTGTAAGGTGAGGTTTGCACCCACTTATATACTGTAAACTCACCTTATCTCTAGTTGATGTGGGATCTCCAATAGTTGGTTCCTTTTACTATCTTTTAAAATCTTCATCCCTTTCATAGTAGCACAACCATTTGTATTCTTTATATAAACTGAACAAAATTTCAAGTGAAAAATGGCCAATTATTTCTTGCTTTCATAGACATAAATGTTTGTTATATTTACCAATGATGGACATCCTTCAGGTATTAGAAGCTCTCAAGGATTCAACATCAACGAGACCAGCTATATTTGCTATGTCGAATCCTACAAAGAATGGTACATGTTTTTTTTTTCCTAATTGATATTTGTGATGGAAGTGAAAAACATGGATTTTAATAGTTTGTATGCCACTTCCCTCATTTTTTTGACAGCTGAATGCACCGCTGAAGAAGCATTCTCTGTTTTGGGTGACAACATTATTTTTGCAAGTGGAAGTCCATTCAGTAATGTGGATCTTGGTATAAGTTTGTGAATCCCTTGCAGAATATTTATATATTAGATGTTTATAATCTAGTCATGGTAACATCAAAAGTGATAATAAAACTGTATGATTGTTGCTTGCTTGAAACTTAAGAACCGAGATGATTGTCTTTAAACTCTTTTCATATTGGCAGACTAGGATTCCTAGTGTTATTGGAACAATATCCTTTATTTTCTTTTTGAAGAATAGGGAGCTAAAATCCATATAATTAGGTACGCAATCAAATTATTCGTTAATGTTTATTATGGGTGATTTTTTTTTCATTTTAAAGTAAATGTACATTTAGTTTGTTTAGTTATTCATTTGGTTCCTATAGTCACCAAAAAAAAAATTCTTTTACTCTCTACACATAAAAATATCTCCTTTTAGTGCCCGCACATAACATGTTTAATCCCTTTTAGTCCCTTAGGACATCACTTTTATCCCTTTTAGTCCCTACTGTAAGGATTAAAAAGGGTATATGTAAAGAGTAAAAGGGGAAAAAGATTTAACCCAAAGGCTAGAAAGAAATCTTTTTTGTAACTGTCAAAAAAAGTGTTTCTGATATTATTCATACAGGAGCAATTGCGCTTAAAAAGAATACAAAGACTTAATAAATGAAATCCTGATTTAGGATGGATACAATCTATCCCTACAATTCAGGACCAGTGATCCTCTACAATAAATATAAAATATGCTGTCAGCCTATTAACCCTCCTCCTAATTATCCTTCTAATTATGGAATGTAATTAAATCTCCTTATTATGCAATGAAAACTGAACAAGAAAATATTAACTGCAGCATAAATCAAGGGATTCTAACACTTCCCCTCAAGTTGGTCAATGGATATCATCTATTCCCAACTTGCCAACAATAGATTGAAACGTGGCACCGCTTAGCCCTTTTGTCAATACATCCCTGAGTTGATTTCAAAAGGATACAAATGGTATACATATTGTTCCATTATCCAGTTTCTCCTTCACGATGAAGTGTCTATCTACTTCAACACATGCTTAGTTCTATGAATTGCACTCGATTATGTGCAATATTTACTGTTGATTAGTTATCACAATACAGTCTCATAGGCTTCTTCCAATCAATCTTCAGGTCTTCTAAAACCATAGTATTTCACAAATCCCTAATGCCATGGCTCTAACTATGCCTGTGCACTTGACCTTGTCACAACATTTTATTTCTTGCTTTTCCAAGTAACTAAATTTTCTCCAAAAAAATGCAATATCTAGAGCTAGTTCTTCTGTGTTTACAGAATCTGCATGATCAACGATTGTGTAGGCTTCTAAGAGCATTTCATTTTCCTTTATAAATAGAATTCCTTTTCCAGGAGTTACTTTCATGTACTGTAGAATGTGATAAACAACCCTGAAACGAGTCTCCTTTGAATTATGCATGCACTGGCTATGTGTGTGACAAGTAGATCAATTTCTCAACCAGCCTTTAAATAAGATTGTCTATCCACAGCTACATCTTCAATTGATTCACCAAGTTTGTGATTTTGTTCAATGGTTTGTATCCGAATTTACCAGTTTTCAACCAACTACTATTGGACGTAATTTTGTTGGGAGATGAAATACTATGATGGGAATGACAGTTTGACGATAAGCAAACCTAGGTGGCAAGGATTTCGTTTCTTTTTCTAACTTTTCATTACTGTTCAAATTTTGAATAAGTTTGTTTGTTTGGGTTTAAATCAAGCCTTGTACTTTATTTAAACTTACTAAATTTGATATTTGTTCTACAACGTGCATAAAGTATGTTTGTTATTGGTAAAGTAATTTTTTGGTAGAAAAAGAAATCTTTTGTTATCCTTTCTCTTGGTCTCAGTTAAGGGGAACTCAGAAAGACAATTTCTTGTAATCATGCAGGAAATGGTCATATTGGCCACTGCAACCAGGGAAACAACATGTACCTCTTTCCGGGGTTAGTTTACAATTCACAGTTTCCTATGATATTTTACAATATACAGTTAATGTTATTTTAATTATATTCTTTTGTTCCAGCATTGGTCTCGGAACTCTTCTGTCAGGTGCTAGTATAATCTCTGATGGCATGCTACAAGCTGCGGCTGAGCGGTATGTTTTACTAGATTTATTAATTTCGGACAGTACTTCTATTATTAATTACATCAACTCGAAAATGGGCTATAAGCGGGAAAAGTTTCAAAAAAAAAATTTGTCCACAAATAGAATGGGATCATCAAACTGTTGTGATGTAGTTAAATGTAATGAATGAGAGTGTGCAATAAATAATAAATATAGTTTTAGTTGTAAGAATCCATAAAATTAGGGGATTGGGATTAGGAGTTTATTTGGTAGATTTTTTACTCATTTAAAGTCTTTATTTCAGGAGATTTATTTCTTTAAATAGGATTATGTTTTCTTTTGAATACCCATGTATTGTTTCGTTTTGGAGTCAAGGAAAATAGTTCCACAATTATTTTCTACTGCCTGCACAATTTCTCACACCATTTCATGAATCATCACTTACGTTTATGATGTTGAGTGAAGACACATGACTGACATGAATGTTTTTATTTAACAACGCACCCTGCATGTAAGAGTTCTTTGGGCTTAAAGTATGAATAATATATGGCCCACCTAATCTTGCATCGTAGTTTAACTTGTATTTAGAAGAAAAAGGGGTCATCAAGGGTCTACCTCTAGACCGTGTAGTTTGAAGAGCATAGGCACGGGAATGGTTTACATATTTCTAACACCATCTTTGGAATAGAGAAACCTTCCATTCAGATGATTCTCATTGGAAGCTAAAAGCACCCTCTAAGGTTAAGTTCTGTTTATATACGACAGTGTACAAATATTCTTCAAAAGGATTAGTGAAAAAACACGCAGGATGGTATCATTTTGAGAAAGAATATGATGAATTCTGTGTTGTGTATACATGAGTATTCTTATTTATAATAAAGGAAAGATACAATTTTGAGAAACAAAATCAATATGTAATGAGGAGAAATATTTGGTAAGATATTGTTTTCCTATCAAATCATATCATATCTCCCTATCTAATGTAATCAAATCATATATATCTCCTATCTAATGTAATCAAATCATATATATCTCCTATTTAGTGTAATCAAATCATATTTCTAATATAATTGTATCATATCACCAATGACGTGTTGAGGTCATTTCTCTTCCTATGTATGTTATGAGTGGAGGTGCTAGCGTTGAATTAGTTCCTCATTTCTTTTTACATTGTTACTCTGCTGTTCCTTTATGAAATTCTTTGTTTGGCATTATATTTGACAATGTTGTCAATTTTTATGAGTAGCGTTACTAGTTGTAGAAGTACATATTTTTTGTTACAATGAACAATTTGTGCTGCTCTTACAATGCTTTTGGTGGAACATAATTCTTGCATATTTAAAGAGATTTCTTTGGATGAGTAGGTACTTTGAGAGTTGGCTTTTACTGAGTGTAAAACACATGATTTTAGGGGATTTAAAGGGTTTTCACTCCTTTTCAGTCACCATGTGCATTGGGTAGCTTTGCTTCATTAAAATGTCTTTTGCTCTCTGTTTGCTTCATTGAAATGTCCTTTGTTCTCTGTTTCATTTTTTATAATTTAAATTCGACCTTTTGTTCTCCTTCCTCATATGTCAGTGTCCCCTCTTTGTATAAATGAGTATATTATTTTTCAAAATATCAAAGCACTACACCAAAAGGTTTTGTCCCCTTTGACTGACAAAGATTAAGCAATTGATAAAGAAGATTTATATGCATATTATGTCTTTTGAAGCCCCGCCAGATTAAATTTGAGATTTAAACGATTACTTTTTCAAGCTTGAGTCTTACGTTAGAAATAATGATTTAGGCATCCTAACATTTTTCATATCATTAGTAATTATTAATTCGTGCATGAGCTTATTCATCCCTAAATGTTGAGGTCTTTCCTTGATTTTGACTCTTTTTTTGCCCTGCCTAATATCATTGGAAACTGAAGTCTGGCTACATATATGAGTGAAGAGGAGGTGCTCAAAGGGATTATTTTCCCTTCAACATCCAGGTATAAATGAGCATTTTCTTTGCTGTTTGTAGGCTATAAGAGATAGTTCTAAATGAGCAGCATATTTCTCAAAACTAATACATATTTTTGTAGAATTCGAGATATTACAGAGAAGGTAGCCGCAGCTGTTATAAAAGAGGCGTTGGAGGAGGACCTAGCTGAAGGATATCATGGAATGGATGCTAGGGAGCTAAAGAAACTTAGCGAGGTAAGTTTTTTTTGCTTGGAATATTTAACACTTCTTAGTACGAGGACATAACATTGTAATCTATAGTATAATGTGGTTGGAATTAAATTTTCATGAGAACACACTTTGCCAGGGTCCAGACAGCACTGTTAACTGTTGGCCAGATTAGGTTTACTTGTTACGAAAATAAATCAGTAACTATCTTGTTCTAGTGTATGTGAGATTGGTTTGTCTGCATTCTGATTTACCACTTTCTAGTAACAAAAGATGGGAAAATGTGACTTACCTCCTGATAAAATAAATAGGACCTTTACTAGTGTATGTGAGATTGATGTGTCTTTATTGAGGATCTTGATGTTCCACAGGTTCTGTTAGAGAATGGAGGGTCTATGAGAGAAGAAAGGGAAAACAGAGGACTTAACCGCTAGTCAGTTAAGTGGGTTGGGGAAAGAGGCCTATATAAGGACCTCTTTGTTGTATCAGTTATTCAGTTGTGTAGTTGTATCAGTTATTCAGTTGTGTAGTTTTTATGTGTTGACCGGTCTTAGCACCAGGTGGAGGAGGTTAAACTCCTACGATACAGTGATATTCTTGATTCATTGTTGTGAATATCATTCATACTATTGCTTCTTTACAAGTTCTTGATTGTTTGTGTTTGGGAGAGAGAGAGCGCTTGTTAGGAATTCTTTTCTGAATCCCTGATAAAGTGGTCCGACCTGCCGGATGATCTGAGTTTTAGTTGACTCTACTTTTTACCATTTATTTCTTTGGCTTTCATTGTTTTTCGGTAATCATCGTAGTTGTTTTATACTTTCTTCAAATGCATCAATGTTTCCTTATTATATCGTAAGAGTAGTTTTTATTCTCATCCAACATTAAATGCAAGTATTTATATATCAAAACTTCCAAGTTATGGATTTTTTCTTTTTACGGGAATTGCAGGATGAACTCGCAGAATATGTGAAGAATAACATGTGGAATCCAGAGTACCCGACATTAGTTTACAGGAAAGAATGAGTAACCTGCAGTTTTATGGTCACTACAATTTCCCTCACGATGCATCTACGCTTTAATCAGGTTAGCCGAGTCCTGCTTAGGGTGGAATCAACCATGCAGGATTAGTTGATTTAAATTCTAAAACATTATCACGTTACTTTTTCTGAAAGTCTAGCAAACTTATATTTATATATATATATATATATATATATATATATATATATATATATATAGATCTTTATACTGGTAAGATATTATTCGTTTTGGTTAATTTTTACAAATTTATTTTTGGTACCACTTTAAAAAGTTTCTTATCAATGAAAATATCTCATAGATATATAAATTTCATCTCTTATTTTATTTCATGTATCTTTTATTTTATCTAATCTAAGACTTTGTTTACCCAAACGTCTGTAATGCGGAAAGAAACACGTACAGTATGATGTTTGATAGTTACTTGTTTGTAGAGTCTACAACTCTACATTTGATGTCCAATAATTCACATGTTTTGCTCGTACAATTTTGTGGAAGACACGTGAATTCCGAATTCGGTTCTACAATATATGGAAGACATGTGATCGCTGAAATTTGGTCATTCTATTACGATAGAGGAGGACGTCAACAATGGTCTACACTTTTAAGTATGGCCATAGCGCGACTCGTCCTCTTGTCACGTCAATGTCATCATGTCACCGCTCTTTTGTAGAGTCATTGGTACTATATATAAACTTGTCATTCTGTCTACTTACCTTACATGATTTTATCATCATTTTACTCTTTTCGAATAGGCTAATATCCCTCTTTACCCTTTTGGAACTTCAACTTTTATCCACATTCCAATCCTAACTTCTAATTTTAAATTCACATTATTTTGTTCTTTTATCCACTTTAATATTTATATTTCAAATAATTCTATATAAATTTATAGTCTCCCCCTTCACTTTTTTTCTTTCTCTTCCCTTTCACTTGTCTCTACCAGTTATCAATTTCGAATTACACTTTCCACAAGCATAGTTTCGGACTATGTTTTCTGGTGAGCTAAACCACACCATTTCACCCAACACAACCACAAAAAACAAACATTTCATACCATGGACCTCTCTCACTGACAACAGTCCCACAAACCACCGTCTCCATTAGTTTCAAATAAAACTCACAAGGATGAAATTTATCTTTATTAAAAAAATTATATTTTAATCTTCAAATTTTAAAAATAAATTAATATAGTTTTTTAAATTCAATTAGATTGAATTTTTTTAATGTGTTAAACATAATTTAATATAATTGGATTTAAAAAATTATATTTATTTATTTTTAAAGTTTGAAAATCAGAATTTATTTCAGATAGAAATAAATTTCAATTTTACGTTAAAAGGTGGAAGATTAAAAATATATTTAATTCAAAGGAAAATATATAAAAAGGATTTATTATAAAAGATAAACTTACTCTAAATTAAATTTTGATATAAAAATTACTAAATATATGCAATCACCTCCAAGTAAATAAGATCTATATGAGAAAATTATAAGAAATAATTCCCAAAAAATAAGTATGAAAATGTAAAAATAAAATTTTAGAAAAAATAAAAAAGATAATAAATTTTAAAATTAATAAACACATAGGTAAACTTAACCTGGAATAAAAATATTTATCAATGTAAAATTATTTCCTGTAGGCTGGTAAAAACTGGCTGTCACACTTTGTTTGAACGAGTTTCTTTACGAAAAAAAAAAATTCATGAGTAAAAATAAAAAGCATTATCAAAATTTATTTTCTTGTTAGTTAAAATTAAGTTATACACAACATAGAACCTTTATCATGTAGCTTTTTTTGAAATATATATGTTTTTATTTTATTCGTTATAACTAATTCTAACATATACATTTCAAAAAAATAGTTTCCTTTTCTTATTTTTCCCTTCCTATAACAAGTTCTTCTTGGAAAAGTTGGTACAAACATGATCACCTGCGAAATCTTCGAACGTAACAAACAAAAATCAAAACCAAAACAGATTATAACATATTTAGTAGACAAGTAAAATATTTTTTTGTACCGAAAAAATAAGGAGCTTAAGATATAAACTTTTTTCTATCTTTGATACACTCAAGTAATATCCTTTTCTTGTTCCTTCTAGAATATCTTCTATGCTCTGACTTTGGTGTTGATTTTTTTTTTCATTATCATGTTAATGCTTGTTCTCCTTTCTTTATACCAAAATATTTTTAACTTGGAAGCAAAGTTTAGATTTCAGTTGAAACTTTATGATAACATGAATGATCATGATTGTGTGCACTAAGTCAAAGCCAACCACTAACTTGTACCACTAACCTAAGCTAATAAAATCTTATTATTTAATTTTAGTTTTCTATTAAGAGTTAAGAGTATGTGTGGGATGTTAAAGTTCCTTTTTAAACTAAAAATTGGTTGTAATTTGTAAAGTTGTTAAAACTTAATTATTTGTAAAAATCATGCTATGCAATATGTTCTATGCTGTAATCGACTATTCAAATAAGTTTAATTTTATTTCTTTTTATCAAAATTTCAAATTGATCTTTCAATTTTTTTTTAATTTAAGTTTCGAAACTGTGATATAATTTAATTATTTCCATTAATAATATATTAACAACATTAAAAATAAAAATATATCACATATCGTGATTTTTTTAGTTTTAGTTTTATTTTTTATCTTTTTATTTTTTTTAATTTAAAAATAAATTGGAGGGGAAGGGGAAGGGGAGAAGGTTTCCACACAACGTGCCACGTGCTAATTAAAAGCCAACCTCAACATGCCACCTGGCTAGAAAGTTAACACCGTTTACTAAGATTAACGGCAAGGACATTATTGATTCAATTTTACCAAAACAGGGACTCAATTGATCACTTCCAAAATTGGAGGACCCAATTAAAACTAACCTGCAAATATAGGGACTTCCGAACCTATTAAACCTAAAAGATATTAAGTGTTGAAAAAAGAAATTAAAACTATTTTATAATTTTGTAGTTTTACTCCTTTTTTTCATTTTAAATTTTTTAATTTTTATCTTTTATTTTATAATTCTTATTATATTTTTTATAACAAACGTATAAGAATAATATGTATAAATGAAAGCTACCCAGAAAACAAAACCAAAAGAAATAAAAGTAAAAACAAAAAAATAATAAAAGTGCACACTTTAAATGGTCTAATAAATAAAAGGGAAAGCATAAAGATATACAAAAGAAAAACTTAAGCTTAGGGTGTGAGACAAAACTGGACTTAAAGTGTTAGACGAAACTGGACTTAGGATGCTAGAAAAAATTTGGCTTACAGGTGCCAGATAAATTGGGTTTCGTGGCCAGGCGAACTGGACTTTCTAGGCTAGACAAGCTGGGCTTTGGGGAGTCAGATGAGTAGAGCTTCAAGGCTAGGTGTGCTAGACTTTGGGTGCCAGAAGAGCTAGGCTTTGTGGGCTAGGCGAGTTGGGCTTTGTTGGCTAGGCGAGTTGGGGTTTGTGGGTCAGAGGAACTAGGCTTTGGGGGCATACGAATTGGGCTTTGTGGGCTAGAGGAGTTGAGCTTTGGGGGCTTTGGGAGCCAGACGAGCTAGGCTTTGGAAGCTAGGCGAGTTGGGTTTTGGGGGCCAGACGAGCTAGGCTTTGTGGGCCATATGAAAATGGGCTTTCGGGGGCTAGACGAGTTGGGCTTCAGGGGCCATACGAGCTAGGATTTAGGGGCCAAATGAACTAGGCTTTGGGGGCCAAACGAGTTGGACTTCGTGGGCCAGGCGAGTTGGGCTTTGGGGGCTAGATGAAACTAAGCTTTGGAGCTAGACAAAACTGGACTTTAAGGTTTTGAATTTTTGAGAACTTGTAGATTTATGAAATATTTTTGTAATTTTTGACCAAAATTGGATTTTTAAAAAGGAATTAGTGACCATTCCTAATGAGAGGGTCCTAATATGAGGAGAAGATAAACAAGGTGTCGAGACCATGGGAGCGTGTTAAAAGCCCCACTTAAAAGCGATGAATAATTCAACTTATTACTATTTTAGATTAAACTTGCTTAATTACCATTTCATCTTAAACTTGCTTAATTATTAACTAAATAAACTGATTCATTTTAACCTATATATAATAAATATAATGTATATGTTTTTCAACTAGTTTAAATATTTGATGAATTATATTGATTTCCAAATTGTAACCCATTTTTTATACTTCCAGATAAAATTGATAAAATATTAAAGGTGAACCAAAAGTTCTAAATTTAACTCAAAAGGAAAGAAAAAGAAATCCATTATAAATCAAACTTTATGTTATCTAATCATTCTTGTACATGGTGTTAATAAACACGGCTTTGAAAGATAGTTACTAAAAGTTTTCATTTTCTTATCTTTTTCACATGCTTTCTCACATAAATTCCTTATCATCATAAAAGTTAAAGAAAAAAAAACATATTTATATTATCGAAATCTTGATTATAGATTTATAAACAAACATTTTCAAAAGATTTTTCAACATTCAAATCATTAAAAATATTTAAAATCTTTATAAACATGTGAGTATTAATAATTATGAAGTGACAATTCTTTAAAAAATCTCCCTTGTAATTATAAAATCAACCTGAATTATGAATCTATATTTTTATTAAAATAATATTTATCTCAAATATATAATAACAATATAATTAATAAATATATAATCATAATATTAAACATTAAAAGTTATAAATATCATCCAAATAGACTTAAATTTAGACGGTCTCATAAGGGAAGAAAAAAAACTTAATAAATTTTATTAAATCATATTCTTTAACATATTTATTAGATTAGATAGGAACATATATATTAAAAATAGATTAGACAGATGATTATTGAAGGTTAAAGTGCCATGAATAATCTCGTAGAAAATGATTTCTAATTAGTACTTACTAAGTTTTTAAATTAATATTAGGTTTAAATAATTTGAAGTTACTGATAAATTTATGTATNTGGTAAGATATTATTCGTTTTGGTTAATTTTTACAAATTTATTTTTGGTACCACTTTAAAAAGTTTCTTATCAATGAAAATATCTCATAGATATATAAATTTCATCTCTTATTTTATTTCATGTATCTTTTATTTTATCTAATCTAAGACTTTGTTTACCCAAACGTCTGTAATGCGGAAAGAAACACGTACAGTATGATGTTTGATAGTTACTTGTTTGTAGAGTCTACAACTCTACAT